ATATATTTATATATTTTCGTAAGCTTAACACTACTCAAACAAAACCAAAAAAGGAAAGGTGGTGTTCTTGATTCCCAATTAAAGATAGACGTTTTTTATGGGTCTTTTTTTTTTTTAAAGCTATGTTCATTTGTTTTTGCCGGTATGCATTCTTTCCTTTTCCTGATAGATATATGTAAAAGGTTGATGAGTAGAAATTTACGATATAAAAAAAAAAAAAATTAGTATCGGTCATTTACAGGTTTTGTGAGTGTTTTTTTTATATAAAATTGAGAGTCATTTACAACGTGTGAGAGGGCCATTTGGATTATTTATAATTTTGTAGGGTCGTTTAAAATTTTTTGGATTACTTGGAATGGATCATAAAAATTTTAGAAAAACTCACAAACTAGATAATACTATTCCTCCAAAAGAACAACCAAGTCCTATTATATTTAGCTTAGTACAATTAAGTCCTATTTTTAATAATTTATTCTCAATAAGTCCTAAACTTTATTAATGTTTTGTTTTGTTCTAATTTTATTCTTTCTACGAAAACACAAATTATATTTTTGTTTAGAATTTTATATTCAATTTTATTTATTGAAATATAATTTTTATATTTTAAATTAAAATTCAAGTGAGTTATATATTTAGAATGAATTCTAGATAGTATAAAAGTCATAATATATTTATGTTTTTTTAAATTTTCTCTTAAATATAATATCACAGCTTCTAATGTTTGAAATTTTTTTTAGTATGCCTTAAAACAACAATTTTTTTATTTAATTCAAAATGTAAAAAGAGTAGTAAAAAAAAATGTAATTAGATGATCTTTATTTCATAGATTAATTTTTACATTGTTAATTTATATAATTGCATGTCTTTATTGTTGAGATATGATAGTTTAGTAAGTCAAAATTCACATATTTAAAAAATTTAAATATAAAAAAATAGGATTGCATGATTTATCATTTGTACAAGTCTTTATTGTTAATTACATGTTTTGACTGTTATACACTAATTAGAAAAAAAAAATCAATTTGCTTTGGCATATTAATAATAAATATTATTGGTAAAAATGTAATTGGTGTGTTGTTGAGAAAGATAAAATTGGAATAAAATTTTCTCGTAATGGAGTTTAGGACTGTCTACGAATAAATTATAAAAAAAAAGACTTAATTATAATAAGATTTAATGGTTCTTAAAAAAAAAATTGGAGTTATTGGTGGTTTTCCCAAAATTTTAGGAATGACAACATGTAATCCAAAAACATTATAACCCTCAAAATTTATAATTTAGACCATAAAAATTGTAATGTGAATCTAAAAATATAAATTATTTTTGTTGTAAATAAATTTAAAAATTTATATTTTAACCCACAATTTAAAAATTTTGATAGTAGCGTAGTCTTCTACGTGGTTTGAAAGACAAGTTACAGTGGCTCCAAAATTTTGTACTAGGACCAAGATAGGACTCACTGAAATAAAGTTATCCTCCAAATATGTGTGATTATGACCCTATGGGATGTGCTTGTTTGGTATTAGTATTAATTTATATGCACAAGTGTTATTTGTCATGTTATTATGGTGAACCGCATATGAAATTATGTTTGATAGTAGTTGACCGAGGTATAGGGAGAGTGTCGGCTGTGTCTTTGGGGTTATACTCCCATTCTTTTTTAGTCACGAAAAAGAAAAGGTTTTTTCAATCCTTATGGGAGTTCAGGAGGTCAGTTATAAGAAGTTGGGTCTTCACCCATTTAGGAATGTACAAGAAATCATCATAAGGGGTGTATTTAACATTGAAAAATTTCATGAGCAAAGGTACACCGGGGATACGAAGTTTATTTTTGTTGAAGAAAACAAGAAGACCCACCAGAATATCCAAAAGTTGGGAAAAAGTTGAGTATGACATATGTTGAAGTGTTGAACACTTTTAAGAAAGAGGTGCATAAGAAAATGAAGACCGTTTTCGAAAGAAGTTACAAAGAAACAAACTTTCTGAGGAATTTGGGAATCATGTCGAATATCCACAGAAGGGCACCAATATTGCATACCGTGGGAAAATCCAAATCGAGCTAAAAGGACGCTCATAAAAGGAGTGACCTCACTAAAATAAACGAGGTTTGAAGCTTTAAGGGTCATTTCTGGCTCCTTGACACCAAATGTCCAGAGGTCACTCCCCTTGGATTTCCTTTTTCAATATCTCTTAGATCTTGGAACAAAGGAAGACGGTGGAATAGAAACATCGGCCTCTTTCATAACATCAATAGAGTCAACACCGAAAAAGTTGTCTAGATCTTCACCTACATCTTAAATCGTCATTCTCCAGCTCAGGGGATCTATCACCCATGGCAAGAAAAACAGATGAAGTCGTAGCATCTGAGGAGGCATACATGGTAAGGTTAGAGAAAGGGGGATGAAAAGAGGTATAAGGAAAATGAACGTTATCAAAGCAATCATCGAGGGCTGAAGGGTCAAGACACCAATGACTGAAAAGAAAGATCCTAGTAGTATAATAATGATTTAAGAAGAGAGAAAGAAAGGACAATGAACGATTTCAATTTTTAAAATAAGAGAAGTGAAAAGTCTAAAAATTAAACAACCACATTGAATTTGTTGGATTCAAAACAAAAAGAAGAACAGGGTAAATAGTGTACCTATTCAAAAACGAGCAACAACCAAACACCCAGGACATATCGAGGAACGAACTAGGTTAGCCTCACAGAATCATCAAATCGAATTCGGGAATCACCAGTAAAGCCTTAGATCTCCAACAAATTTATGAAGATGAAATTGCAAAGAAAGAAAAGAAGGAAAGCCTGAAGACAGAATGTGAAGAGGGTACGAGAAAATATAAAACAGTGTTTTTGTCTGCAACAACATTTAAAGCCAAACATACGTGGACTCTTGAAATATGAGACGTATGCGAGAAACGAGAAAAGAATGATTAAACATTTGTCATAACCATCAGAATGAAGTCCCACCTTGCACGAAGCGAGCTTTGATCCCAAGCAACCTTACTCATGACATAATACCTGCACAAACCAAGTTGATTGACCAGGGATTGGGGGCAATTGATGGTACCACAAAAATATTTAAAGATGAATTCGGTAATCCAAGTCATGTTACTCAGGTTGTGAGCTTAGTTTATTCATATTACTTATAGATCTTGACTTTAGACCTCAATTTTCTGAATCCATATCTTGAGGAAGATTGTGTAAAAGACAGTTGGGTCCCATTGAGTCTTCTTTTTTTGTAGCATCAATCACTTAGTATGCACAAGTCTTGTAGCACAATAAGGGGTGATCGTTACAAGGGAGGAGTGATGATCAAGACCAAGAGTAACTATAAAAAGGAGGCTAAACTCTCGAAAATAACAAGAAGCCATTGTAACCTCCCAAAAATACTTTGTAAATTTCACACAGTGATTAATATATGTTCGGAGTAAAAGATTTTTTTGAGAGTAGATTAATCAAGTTCCCGAGTTACTAAACTATTATAAACACTCTGCGTTACCATTCATTTATTTTCAAATCTTATTCCCTAGAGTTTTGGAGTTGAGATGGAAATATATCTACCTCTTCAGTACACTTTAAATTCATTTTACTATTTAACCGTGTTGAGAATATCATCAAATTCTAACATCGAAACGTGTGTCTCTAAACATTCTTCATTAGGCTCTACTGGACGTACACTTTCCTGCTCGGAAACACTTTCCACCGTGTAGATCGTTGTTGATTCCTGCCACGTACTTTTGATATAGAAGTTTTGACTCATTTATTATTCATTGTAAAAAAATAAAATAAATTTTTTAATGAGTTATATATTTTTATTGATAACGAGTGAAACAATGATACGTGTTTTTTTAATCATAGTTGACCTGAGGAGGATAGGATTTTGTTACTTGAACAACGATGATCGTTGTTAGATTTTAAGGCTGTGAATTTAAAAATCGTTTTCTCCCTTTCTGTGATAGTGTCTAATCGAAAAAAACAAAAAACAAATAGTCTAATAGTATAATTTAGACACTGCCTTTTTCAATCCATAACCCATGGCTCTGAAGATGTGAAATTGCATTTCATGCCACCTAATGAATGGGATTATGATCCACTTTCATATATATTTATTTTTTTATTACGTTTTAAAAGGAGATTCGCTTATATATAATGAGTTTCGTTTGAATTTATATAATAGGTGATTTAACAAGAAAAGAAGTACATCAAATGTGTATTAAAGTTGATTTCACTCCTAATAAATGCAACTTTTGGAGAATTCTTGCCTAATGTGTTGTGATAAAATCAATTGAGTTTGTCTCATGTATAAATTATATTTATAGTATTTAAATAATATTTAATTGGGTTCATGTCAATTGAATTATTTGACGGGTCTCAAATTTCCATTTGATTGCTATCTGAGGAACATATAAACTGCAAGTAGGCAATTGTAAAATTGAATTACATTAAAATTAATTATCATATAGTTTGTTTCATTAAGCAACAATTCCATTGTCGTCCAGCGGTTAGGATATCTGGCTTTCACCCAGGAGACCCGGGTTCGATTCCCGGCAATGGAATTTTGAACATGCTGTTTTGCTTGCCAGTCTCGTAGGCTTGGCTGACCACCCACCCTGCGTTTTTTGGGCTTCTGAATTAGGGGTTCTAACATATAATTTTTAAAAATATTGTTTTCTTACTTTATTATTTTCATTGATAAACGATGGTTACAGACCACTCTCTCCCAATCAATTTCGGTATGATACCCACGATTTTTTTTTTAATGAGCCATATGGCCTTGGAGTAAAAGATTGGGTAAAAATTATAGTGTTTGGTCGAGAAGAAATTCAAAAATTTGTAGATTTTTAATCCTAATGTTTTGTCTACTCAGCTAAAATATAAGGAAAAGGGGTGGGGGGTGTGGTGCTGATGGGGGAAAAGGGAGTTGTATAGGAGAGAGAGAGAGTATATACAGATTATATTGTTCCATGATTACCAGAAAGAGTCCAGTGCATACATGAATTCAGAAGCCAGCAACATGAAAGGAAGAAAACCATATCACCATCTCCTCAGTTAACTCTTCCCTTTTCTGAGTAATAATCTCTTCCTCCATCGAAAACCGACACACCGGACATGTCTTACGACATACACTAAACCACCCATCTATACAGACCTTATGAAACTCATGCAGGCATGGAAGAATACTTCTATCCTGTCCCACCTTCAATCTAGACAAACACACACAACATACCTCATGCTCACTCTGACCAACACCCTCATCAACGTCGACTCTTTGTTCTTCGGGTGAGTTTCTGATCAGTCCCTCCTCGACTTTATTCGAAGATTTGATCCTAATCACCTTAGAAGATGCTGATCCTTTGATTCTTTGCGGTAATCTCAGATCATTGAAACAGCATATGGAGGAGAAGAAGTGTTTTATGACCATTGTTTTAGCAGAGAGAAGTGATCATTTCTGTTAGATCCCTAGCAGTATATAAGAGAGAGAGAGAGAGAGATCAATAGAACTGTGAGCAAGTAATGGGTCGCTTTGTTGTTCAGTTGTTTTGCGTGGTTTGAAAGGGTGGTTGGAAGGGAGGAGACGATTTTGAGAGTTCAACACAAAAGCTGTTGCACCTAAAAAGTGTTACTCTCCACCATCATTTCATATTCAACAGGAGAAATGGAGAAGTTGAAGACGTAAACTTCGAGCTTATCCCTTAACTTACACTTGCATTTTTACACCTCCACAATAACTGCCGCCTACTGGCATACACCACCTGCATCTCGTCGGAATTTACATTCTGTTACAGGTTCGACTAACAGAAATTGTAGTTCATCACGTGGCATAAAAGTGCACGAATTTTTGTCAGACTTCCTAGTGGTAGTAATCTCGTATTTGGAACGGCTGCGTGCAAACTAAGGTCGAGTTATCGTTACCTACCAGATATTCAAACATTGTGCAAACTTGGCATACCTACTCCAGTCATGGACAAGGCTCAAAATACCGGCCCCACTGCAACTTATTGTGAACTCTTTAAACAAACAATCATGGGGTAACAACCCCAGGACTTCAATGCTTTAAGGACATCATTTTCAGCACATTAGGCCTTCCAATTTCATTGACAAAATAGTAGCAAAATTGTTGAATTTATCACCAAAATCCTTTTTGTCCCCGAAACCCCCACCCACCCACACACACACAATGAATCCAACATAACATCCTTTAATAGCAGGAGTTTTTACCATCCACTTAAATAGAGCTCCTTGTTGCTCCATGTTTGAAATCTATAAACGTATATCTGATGCAGAAACCTCCTATCTGCAAAGGATGTTAAAAGAGATAAGTAATAGACAACGTTATTGTACTTTTTAGTTTATTCCCAGACCATCCACATCATATAACCAAAGGAATACAAACAAAAAAAAAAAGCAAGGGACAGAGGCTTTTGTGCTCCTTCACACAAGCCAACTGTGTTCCATTCAATTCTTTCAAAGCCAAGAGTTTTGAGTGTTTGCCACACAACATGAAGCACTAAGAAGGTAGAAAACCGGTTTTCTCCTAGAAGCTAAGCAACATAGTCGTAGAAGAGAGAAACAAGAATATTCACCATATGTACAGGATTAAATCTTCACACAGTTGGCACAAGGCAAAAACGAATTCCACAAGAAAGCTCAGCAGAGCCGGTGAGCTAAGATCATTTTATCAGCAAAGCAAGCACCATATGGGAAATAGCAACTGCTAGAAGAAACTCTGCCTCGGGAGTTGATTGCTATAGAACACTTTCCATAACAATACAAACACAATTACAACTGATTGTCCAAAAAAATTCATATATGAAAACACATGAAAGAGCATGGCCTTCACTTTATTTATGACAAGCACACATTGCATTAAGTGGTAAAAGGACTCTTATAAGCCTTCGCAGAAAGAGTTGATGAGTGCATACAAAATTACAGTGCACAAAAAGGATTTCAGCAGAACAGTGTCCACATGGAACAAAGATGTACATCTAACATAAACCACATATAGAATATTTTCTTTGTATGTAGATCATCTCACATCCAAAAATTCGGCTTAGGATCTACCTCCTTCACGTTCCTCATAGTCTCAGGAGCTGCCTTCTTGACGTTGTTTACTCATACTAGGTGAATCAACAGCACCATCAGATTTTGACGTGTCATCAGTTTCAGTTCCAATTATCTTGCCATCATGTGGTACAAGGCAAGGAATACCATCCACTATCTATAACCAAAGAAAAAAAAAGAAAGAATGCACAATATTACCTACACAGCATAAAATCAGAATTAATTGCAGTTTCAGCTCCCAGAATAACCAAAATGTAAAGCTTTCCCCTCCTACAATCAACTTACACCTCATTGCTTTAAAATCCGAGTCTCCCTGCCATTTTCTTTCTTCTCTTCCACTTTGGTCAATATGAGTTCACCTAGTACTAGCCACTTTATTGGGGAATTTCTCATCTTAGTAGGAGCTTTCCAAAATTGTATGAGACAGAATATTGGACAACTAGGAAACAACATAGTGATAAAATGAGTGTGGTGAAAATGAGAATGTTAGGTGGATGTGTGGAAAAACTAAAAATAATAGAATATGAAATGACTGTATTAAAAAAATGGTAGGAGTAGTTCTAATTGAAAATAAGTTAAGAAAAAATAGACTAAGATGGTTTAGTCATGTGCAATGGAGGCCGATAGAGGCACCGGTTAGAAAAAGTGATAAAATTTCTCTTAATGGTACTAGGAGTAGGGATAGATCTAAATTAACATTGAACAAAATAATAAGAAAAGACATAAAAATATTTTACTTAAATGAGCATATAATGTATGACCAAAATGAATAGCAAAAACGGACTCATATAGTCGATGCCAAATAATTGGGACATAAGGCTTAATTTGGCTAGTTGGTTGGTTAGTAGGAGCNTGAACAAAATAATAAGAAAAGACATAAAAATATTTTACTTAAATGAGCATATAATGTATGACTAAAATGAATAGCAAAGACGGACTCATATAGTCGATGCCAAATAATTGGGACATAAGGCTTAATTTGGCTAGTTGGTTGGTTAGTAGGATCTTTCCAAAGAAATAGTGCGAGCTAGAGATGACCCTCTTTGAAGATCTAGCCTCTCATGGACCACAGTGTTGAACTCATTCTAATCATTGAGCTTATTGGAATCTTTGAATTTGACCAGGCGAGGGAGGTTTTGAAGATTTTATGGAGAATTTTCCAATTTACGGCCATCGNGACCCTCTTTGAAGATCTAGCCTCTCATGGACCACAGTGTTGAACTCATTCTAATCATTGAGCTTATTGGAATCTTTGAATTCGACCAGGCGAGGGAGGTTTTGAAGATTTTATGGAGAATTTCCCAATTTACGGCCATTGACTTATTAAGAAACATGATACTAAATCTCAAATGATGAAAATTTTAGCTCAACCCAAATGTTAAACCCCTTTATTAGACCATCTTCAATGGAAATTCAAATCCTTACTTAAATTTGAGGGGAAAAAAAAAAGATAAAAAACTTGATTTAGTATAAACCTCTTCATTGGAGGAACTCAAATTTAAAAAAATAGAAACTTATATTTAAATTTAAATGAAGACAAACTTAAATTTAAAAGAGTAAAATATGACCGTTGGATTTTTAAAGAAAGGTTGAGTATGAATTTGAGCCTCCCTTGATTTGAATAAAAAAATGAATTTTTCCTTGATTTGATGCGATTATGGATCCAACAATGGAGAAGGTTTTTAGAAGTTTTTTTATTCAAATTTAAATTTAAGTTTAAAAAAAGGTAAGCATCAGAGATGCTTAGTAATTACCATGACTAAAAGAATAATGCTGAGCTATAATACTTTTGCCTGAAATAGAATTAAGCCAATTTGAAAAATAGCAGCGGACAAGAACAATAACAAGAACTCACAGGAAAAGAAACGCCGATTGCGTCACTGATCAGAGAATTTGATTCTTCACATACCCTGAAAAATCAACAAACATGGCAGATAATCTTTGAGTTTGATGAAAATGGGAATTACAAAAAAAAGAAAAAAACAAAAGAAAGAAAGAAAAAGAAAAATAAGGATTTGTGGTACGAGAATAAGTGTATAGATATTTACCTCAAGGGTTGTTTGGAGAGAGGGCAGACCAGAATTTCGGAGAGGGTCTTACTGATCCTAACCCCTCCGTCTTTGAGAAGCACTCTACTAAATCTCACCATTTCATCTGTCACCTCAATTCTCAATTTTAGGGTTCTTCTACATCTATATTTTTGTGGGTTTATATGTGCTTTGTGTGAGCGTTTATGTATTCCATAACGGTGTCGTTTTATGCTCTTTAAACCCGAAACGCAAATTCCGGGTCAGGGTATTATTCATGACAACTCCATCCGGGTCTCTGACTGTGTCTCTGTGAGAGAGAGCGAGAGAGAGGGGGGGAGGCATGAACATTGATGGCGGAAAAATTACGGAATTCAAAACTCCATTATCGAAACCCAGTCGCAAATGAATGGCAAGAATCCCCATTAGAGACTTCCTTCTTTACAGATCCCACTTTCTCTCTCATCCCATCGCTGTAATTCCCTCAAAACTGAATTTTTCTACTTCTTCAACCTCATTGTCCTCCAGTTCTTTTGATTTCACATCTGATCAAAGCCTCTCACTGTACAATCAATATTTAAATCTCCTCAAAACATGTCAAAACACTGCCCACCTTTTCCGAATCCAAGCCCATTTGATCGCTTCTGGTCTCTTCCACAAATTATCGTTTTCCAGCAGAGTTTTGAAACTTAGCTCAGATTTATGTGACATTGATTACACTCTTTTGGTTTTTAGATGTATTAATTCTCCGGATACTTTTTGCATTAATACTGTTATCAAGTCCTATGCTTGTAGTTCTGTACCACACAATGCTCTAATGTTCTATTTTGAAATGCTTAGAAACGGGTTTTCACCAAATAACTTTACTTTTCCACCCCTTGTTAGTTCTTGTGCTAAAACGGGCTGTTTGGAAGCGGCGCAAAAATGTCATGGGCAAATTGTAAAGTATGGGACTGATAATGTCATGCCAGTGCAGAACTCTTTGATTCATTTGTATGCTTGTTGTGGGCTTATGGGTGTTGCTAAGCAGGTATTTGCTGAAATGCCCATGAGGGACTTAGTGTCTTGGAATTCAATGATGGATGGGCTTGCAAGATATGGTGAATTGCGTGCTGCTCATCAATTGTTTGATACAATGCCCCAAAAGAATGTGATTTCTTGGAATATCATGATAACAGGGTATTTGAATGGTGGGAATCCCGGGTGTGGGTTGAAATTGTTTAGAAAAATGACGGACATGGGGTTGAGAGGCAATGATACAACTACGGTCAGTGTGCTAACGGCATGTGGTAGGTCTGCGAGATTGAAAGAAGGAAGGTCGGTTCACGGGTTTCTTATTAGAACAGTTTTGAAGTTGAGTTTGATTATTGATACGGCTTTGATAGATATGTATGGTAGATGTGGAAGAGCGGATGTTGCTCAAATAGTTTTTGATAGGATGTCGATCAGGAATTTGGTTTGTTGGAATGCAATGATTTTGGGACATTGCATACATGGGAAGCCAGAAGATGGGCTTAACTTGTATGCTGAGATGGTTGGTATAACTTGTTCAGAAAATGGAGAAGTTAATTTTGATAAGATCTTAGAGTCAGATGAAGGGCAAGGTGTTCTCCCCGATGAAATCACCTTTGTTGGAGTTTTATGTGCTTGTGCCCGTGAAGGGCATTTGACGGAAGGTAGAAACCACTTTAGGCAAATGATTGATATGTTTGGTGTAAAGCCAAATTTTGCACATTATTGGTGCATGGCTAATCTCTTTGCCGGTGTTGGTCTATTGCAAGATGCAGTCGAATTATTAAGAAACATGCAAGTTGATGATGACACATCATCAGAACCTTCATTGTGGGGTGGATTGCTTGGATCATGTCGTTTTCAAGGGGATGTGATTCTGGGCGAACGGATTGCAAAAGATTTACTTGAACAAGATTCTGGAAATTTCTCGTATTATGCATTGCTGTTGAATGTTTATGCAGTGGCAGGTCGATGGGAGGATGTTGCTAGAGTGAAGGAGATGATGAAGGAGAGAGGGTTGAGAAGAACACCGGGTTGTAGTCTTATGGACTTGAAAGAAATTGTTCACAACTTCAAAATGGGAGATAAATGGCAAAAGTGTGCACAGGAGGTGAACATGAGAATTTGTGAATTGGCTCAATGAGAAAGCTTATTGGCCACTGATACAAAAAGCGGCAGATGGGTGAGAGACGAGCTCAATATTTAGTGATACATCATAAGAGAAGTGGAACTTAGCTTACGCGTTCCTCCCTTTGCTGGCTGGCGTCATGCCTTGATCTCCAACGAAGTAGAATCCATGCCAGCTATCCCAGATTTTTGGTCTGGAATGTGACTGATGAGGACGGTGTAAGTTATAATGATTAATGGGAAGGCTGGTTTGGCCTGAGATGTGATCAAAGACATCTCAATCTCATTCTATAAATGTGGTCAGATGTGATCAAAGACAGAAGTGTATTTTATCACAATCTCATTCCAAAATTACCCCTATATCACAGTAGGCTAATTTATTTTTATTTTTATTTTCAGAATTGGTGGATGGACTCGGGGGAAAGGTACAGAATAGCAATAAAAATGTTGATCCTTGATGTATAAGCTCTCTATCTCGGGTTTACACTAGTTGCGTGATGCAAGACGTGGATAAGCTTTCGCCCACTAATGCGTGCTGCCTATCTCTGCTGGCCTTAGCCGTATTCAAGAGGCATGAAAACAATGCCAAAAGAATAATCTCTCTCTGTTAAAACCATACACAATACAACAAATACACAACACTCAAAAAGTAGGTGCAAGGCACCATAAGGTTATGGTGGTGAACCAGGTTAGGAAATGAGACTTGGAATAGACGAAGATAAAGTCATACAGTATTTAATACAGACTACAAAAATTAAGGATGGATGGCAGTGGACCGGGAAACGGGTATTTGTCTAAACTCGTTTTATTTGGACTAGAGATGGATTATATGTAATAAACGGTGAACATATATAAGAATACCTGTATAAACCCATACGGGGATGGTGGCGGGAATGAATTAATATTCATCCATGTCCCGCCTCTGCCTCGTTATATATATATATATATATATATAAAATAAAACACATAGCAACTTGAATTTTTATTTCAAACATTATTCATATACAATAATGTAAATATACTAAAAAAATTTAATATAGTGGAATCGATTTTTTGAACGCTCGAATTNATATATATATATATATATAGCAACTTGAATTTTTATTTCAAACATTATTCATAAACAATAATGTAAATATACTAAAAAAATTTAATATAGTAGAATCGATTTTTTGGACACTCGAATTTTATATTTCATCGTGCCTTCAGGCACGAGTTATATATATATATATACTAACAATGCACGATGTGCATTGCACATAAATAAATTTAAATAATATTTTTTAAAAAACATGTAACTNATATATATATATATATATATATATACTAACAATGCAACACGATGTGCATTGCACATAAATAAATTTAAATAATATTTTTTTAAAAAAATGTAAATTATACGTGTAATTAAATTTAATATTTATTTTTTTAATTATTTCTAAATTTAATTATTAATCTATTCTATAAAACTTTGAGTCCCTAATTTGTCAGTAATTTAAGTATCTCTCTATCTTTTTTAGGCATTTGCACACTAATTATATTATAGAATTATTAATTTTTATTTTTTAAAATAGATTGAACAGATGGCTTAAAATATTATATTATTACAAACCAAAAAAAAATAATATAATATATATTTGACCACGAAATTCAATCTGTTAGCTACATTTGTATAATAATTTAACATATATATACTATTTTACTACTTCATATAGATAAAAAAAAATTATATATAATTGTATTACTAATAAATGAGTTCAAAAAAATTTAAAAATCCTTATAAAAAAATCTAAAAATTGAATTTATTATAATAATTAGGNTGTATAATAATTTAACATATATATACTATTTTACTACTTCATATAGATAAAAAAAATTATATATAATTGTATTACTAATAAATAAGTTCAAAAAAATTTAAAAATCCTTATAAAAAAATCTAAAAATTGAATTTATTATAATAATTAGGATTAAAATCAAAAATTCAAATTTTTCACAAATGTTGATATTTACAAGTAATATTATTATAAATAGTACAGATAATACATATATATAATATCATAATAACACAAACTCTGTCCACGCTCCCACCCATTTACTAATAGCAATATATAATATCACAAATCTCACCATTTCTTTTTTTTTGTTCCACTNAATGTTGATATTTACAAGTAATATTATTATAAATAGTACAGATAATACATATATATAATATCATAAAAACACAAACTCTGTCCACGCTCCCACCCATTTACTAATAGCAATATATAATATCACAAATCTCACCCTTTCTTTTTTTTGTTCCATTTTTTATATAATGAAATTTCACATTTCTTGTAGAACCATTTATAAGGTTTTATAATTTTTTTTCAATTTTTTTCTTAAAATCATAGAAATTAATTGTTATTAATGAGAAAAAGGATAGGAACAAAGACAGGAATAGAGATCAAAATTTACCCACAAGAATGGAGATTAAAATTTCCACCGAATATTTTTGAAATGGGTACGGGGGTGGACTACTCCCCCGCCCCGGCCACTGCCATCCCTAACAAAAACTATCATAATATCTACACTCTTAAACCACATTTAGAATTCCTGACTTTGCAAATTTTGTTTCAGCCATTTCTATCGATTTTTCACTCAAATACCCATTGGTTCTCCCTACGAATCTCTTCCTCTTCTTCTGGGGTGAAATCATTCTCGATGTTAAAAGTATTGCGTATCTCATCAGCGGTTTTTCCTTTGATCATGTCTGCAACTGTCTGGCATGTCAGGTCAAGAAGGCTCTCGATGTCCAGATAATTTGCAGCCTGAAGAGGGCAACAGAACTGAATTAGAATAAAAATTTTAGATGTGGATTCATTATAGAACCAACCACGAAACAGTAATTGCAAGCAATTCAAAGGAAAATCATTAAGGATGCCATTGAATATGAAACAGGTAAGTAATAAGCTTTTGGCGTTTGCAGGCAGTAGTTGAGAGTTGAGACCAACTAAATAAACTAGGAGCCAGATTTCACGACCAACCAAAAAAGCAGAACTACTAGACCAGGAGCATCAGCATTGAAAGAGACTGATGTTCACTAAAACAGTTAATAGCCATAAGTAATTAACACTAAAAAACACAAGTAAAAAATTGAATCTCCGTAGCAAAAGGTGTGTGGTGAGGTCTTCGCCTTATTTATACCATGTATTGATGAAAGACGAGCTCAACACATATCGCTACAGTTTTCGAAATGGAGCATACTGGGAGGCTTGTGATGCAACAGGAACAAAATAAGAACAGACACTATGCAGATTAACTTCACATATCATGACAAATAACTTGATCAAAACCAGCAAGGGTATTTTTGATAAGGGACAATCGTACTCCATCCAAAGCAACCTACTAAATGACAATAAAAACTACCACTACTTATACCTACACAAGGGCAGAGAGCCAAAAACATTGTTCTGCGTGAGCACTCTAATTACATACTCTTGAATTTTTTTCTTCTAATCAATAAAAATTAAATAATACATGTATATTTATTATATCATATTTGACACATGAATCTATTCAACATAAAAAGGCCAAAAAAATGATGTGTTGTGCATATGGCAAACAAAAAAAAAAGTTTAATTACCACCATTGTAAAAAGTGAGATTAATTGTCGTTTGGTATTTAAAAAGCTATCAGTCATCCATTGATCGCCATTAAAAAAAGTTTAATTACAATTTGAATTTTTCACAATCTCACAATTTTTAAAATTCATTCAATAAACAATATTCCAAACATTATCATTTTTAGATATTGGAATAGCAAAGCCTATAAACTAAAATTTAAGAACAAAATATAGTAACAAATTGGGCAATCGATTGAGACAAATAAACAATACAATCACTAATCGAATGTTAGAGGCAACTTAATAAAGCTTTAAACACAATAAAAAAACTAAACAATTGAAGTAGGAAAATAATAGAGTGGACGTAAGTAAAATATATTTGTATGATACTTAGAGTATATCAATATATACATTTATATAATTTTTTTTTAAAAAAAGAACTGAGGGTGGGCCATGAACACCCTTGCCCCTGTGCAGCTCCGCCTGTGTACCTACATACTCTTTCTTAACATATTAGTGTCTCTTAATTTTTTTGATTAGCACCCTTTTAGCATCAACTATTACTAATAGAGTAGTACTAAGATAATGGAGTCACAAAAACAACACTCAAATAGAGTCATAGAGCTGAGGGGCCATGAAAAACAAATTACAATTAGATACAAAGTCTAGAAGTGACTCAATCGACACCACCACCCCAATAAACTTAACAAACCCAATGATCAAGTTAATAATGTCAGTCAGAAATTGAAATTAAAAATTGTGACGCAAACAAACAGCAAAGCATGACTAAATGTATTCAGACTGTGCACAAGGAAGATTAATTTGAGGCCTACAGATCTATCTATCCTAAGGCGGTTACTGAGAAAATAAAACCATGAGGTCCGTCATTCCTTAAGAAAACATAAACGTCAGCATCCAACCACTGCCAATTTTACCATTTCAATGCAATGTAACGACCTGAAGCAAACTTGCAAAGCATGATACCAAAAATCACATTCATACAATGGAAATAATCTCACCCACCAGTACCTAAACCATTATATTCCATGTGGCTCATAGGTTTAGTGGGGGAGAGAAAAAGTAAATGCCAACAAAAGATTTTAAGAAGGAAAAAAATAGAGGGAGAAATTCTTTTGAGAAGGAAACAATTCAAGGGAAAATTAGAGAATTTCTTTAATTTCACATTTTTCACCATTTCTGAGCCTTGAAAAAAAACAGTAACAAAATGGATCCAAGTCTTTAGACCAAACAAATAAGTCCACACAAAAGCTTCACAACAGAGAGAACATCAAAATTCATCATTACCAGATTAGCACACATAGTTAATGTCTTAATGATCACTTTTAAAAATAAAACTAGAGTCCAAAAATCCCGTTATTACAACCATTAACAGTTTCATTTTAGCTGATCTCAGTACTTAAAAAGACTACATAGATCAACACAACCCTCTCGGCACATAGAGCATGGCCCAGCAATAAAACACAGGCCTCATATAACCGCCGGAAAACGTGAAAAAGTAATCATAACCTATTAGATTAGCAGCAAATAGGCATAATAAAAAACAAACAAGCCAGACATGACAAAAGCTTAGTCTCGCTAAATAAATCACCTAGAATCAATAATGACAACAAATTAGCGGAGTAATGGGGTACTCTGTTATGTGCTTAATTTAGTACAGGTAGTTATCTAGTGAGTCGGTTAGTCTTGTGATGTTAGTGGATAGTTTTCTAAGTGGTTCTCTAGGTAGTGAGGTAATGGGGTGTCTTGGTTATCTATATAGTTATTTTCATTATGTTTTTAAAGCCCTCATTCTTAATGAAATTCGTATGTTGGATATTGCAGTGTTACTTACGGTGTAAAGGGAACCGGTCACCTAAGGCCTAGGCGAGAGGCGAAGCGAATGCTTCATCAAAGTGAAGCGAACAGTTTAAAAACAAGCAAATATGTTAGTTTAATTATTTCTAAATATTCAAGTTCTAACTTCACAAGTATTAAATATTCAAATGCAACAAAAACCATAAACAATAAAATTCAAACAAACACATCACAAAAAGTGCTTAACACAAAAGAAGCAGAACAAAGCAGAAGCAAATGAGCATAACTGCATAACACACAGCAGAACAAAAAAGAAGCAAATGAGCATAAGTGCATAACGCTACAGATGCAGAACACTGCAGAAGCAAAAGAGCATAACTGNTTAAGAACAAAATATAGTAACAAATTGGGCAATCGATTGAGACAAATAAACAATACGATCACTAATCGAATGTTAGAGGCAACTTAATAAAGCTTTAAACACAATAAAAAAAACTAAACAATTGAAGTAGGAAAATAATAGAGTGGACGTAAGTAAAATACATTTGTATGATACTTAGAGTATATCAATATATACATTTATATAATTTTTTTTAAAAAAAAGAACTGAGGGTGGGCCATGACCATCNTGCATAAGTGCATAACACATCAGAACAAATCAGAAAACCAGTAGAAGCAGAACATAGCAAAAGTAAATGAGCATAATTATATAACCAGCAGAGGCAGAAAACCATCACANTGCATAAGTGCATAACACATCAGAACAAATCAGAAAACCAGTAGAAGCAGAACATAACAAAAGTAAATGAGCATAATTATATAACACAGCAGAAGCAGAAAACCATCACAGTACAGAAAAAAAAAAAGAAAAANTCAGAACAAATCAGAAAACCAGTAGAAGCAGAACATAGCAAAAGTAAATGAGCATAATTATATAACCAGCAGAGGCAGAAAACCATCACAGTACAGAAAAAAAAAAACAGAAACAGGATTCCACAAAATTTGAAGAAGAAGAAGTAGAAGAGGAGAAGAATCAGAAAATCAGAAACACAACAAANAAGAAACAGGATTCCACAAAATTTGAAGAAGAAGAAGAAGAAGAGGAGAAGAATCAGAAAATCAGAAACACAACAAAAAAAACAGAAACAGAACTCCAGAAAATCAGAAGGAGAAGAGGGGAAGAAGTAGAAGAGGAAGAGGTTCCAGCAGAAGCAGCATCACAGCAACAGAGTTCCAAAAAATCAGAAGAAGAAGAAGGGAAGAAGTATAAGANTGGCGCCAACATATTCGTGGCGGTAACAATTGCGGGATAAATGACATTTTGCTCCCGGAAAATTTTATATATTTTTTAGTGTTAATTGTACCGGAGGTCTCCAAAATATAAAATTTATATCATTTTAGTCATTAATATTTTAATTGTATCANGAGAAGAAGAAGGGGAGAAGTATCAAAAAATCAGAAACAGATTTCCAGAAAGTCAAAAGAAGAGAAGAGGACATACCTTTGGCATCTGACTGTGAGCTTCCCAGTCTGATGCAGGGCCAGGAGCAGTCTACTGCAGTGAAGCACTCACTTCTTCGCTTTCTTTTATTCTTTGATTCTTCGCTGCTTCTCGCTTTTCCCTTGCTTCTCCTACGGTTGCTTTGCCTGCCTCTTCTAGGCGACATGGGGTCGCTTCACCTCGCTTCTCATTTAGGCGCAATTGTCAAAACACTGGGATATTGTATTGAACTTCCTTACGGAAGTTTTGGAGATTAGGTTATCCTCGAATTGAACCAACAGAGGTTTTCAACACCTCTTGAAGCAGATTTTCTTTCCCCTATTATAATTTTCTTTTGCTTTTTAAATGTCCTGAAATCGTGCACGTAACAATTAGTATCAGAGCCAACGATCTTATTAATAACTATCTCATAGGAGATTTTGAAGTTGATGCACGAGGATTTTAAAAAATGGTTCAAGATATTCATTGAATAAAATCAACACATGCAAGAGAACTTCAACAAAGTTCAAAAAATCCTATAAAAGAAATATTTAGATGACAGCCAGTATGATTTAGCAACTAGCCGTGTACAGGAGGGCAATATGGAAGAGAAGGAGCTACAATTTGGTGTCAAGTCGACCCGCAAAATTATTGGCAGCATAACAACCAAGGAGATTTACCAACATAAAGTTTAGGAAAATGTCATTGCAATTCAACAATAACCTATTTTCCAAGAGCAATGGTATTTCAAATTCAACAAATAGGAAGCCAACGTCTGAATAATCCTTGGCGGCCAATGACATGGTTAGAAAGGGTTCTATTTGTTCTTCATTGTTCTCATCCTCTCCGATAACTTCATTTTCATTGCGCTCTTGGTGTATTTCTTCCACGAAAATATGGGATCCCTGTGAATTTGTAAACGGTATCTTTTATGTGATAGGATCTTGAGGTCAACGTCATATTCAAAGGGGGATGGAATGTTATGTGCCTAATTTAGTATAGGTAGTTATCTAATGAGTGGGGGTTAGTAATGCAATGTTAGTGGGTAATTTTCTAGGTCGTGGGGTAATGGGGTGTCTTGGTTATCTACTTAGTTATTTTCATTACTTTAAGAACGAGGTATGTTGGATATTAATATTATATTAAAATTTTATAATAAAAATTTTGGAGAGTTAGATTCTTCTTGAATTATTTTCAAGCCCTCGAAGTTGGTTTTCTGGCCACCATTCTAATTTTCTTTAATTTTTTTCAAAACTCCCGAAAAATGTGCACGTATACTCATCCATAAAGCACCAAGCCCAATTATTGCATCTANATTGTATTGAACTTCCTTACGGAAGTTTTGGAGATTAGGTTATCCTCGAATTGAACCAACAGAGGTTTTCGACACCTCTTGAAGCAGATTTTCTTTCCCCTATTATAATTTTCTTTTGCTTTTTAAATGTCCTGAAAACNATTGAACTTCCTTACGGAAGTTTTGGAGATTAGGTTATCCTCGAATTGAACCAACAGAGGTTTTCAACACCTCTTGAAGCAGATTTTCTTTCCCCTATTATAATTTTCTTTTGCTTTTTAAATGTCCTGAAATCGTGCACGTAACAATTAGTATCAGAGCCAACGATCTTATTAATAACTATCTCATAGGAGATTTTGAAGTTGATGCACGAGGATTTTAAAAAATGGTTCAAGATATTCATTGAATAAAATCAACACATGCAAGAGAACTTCAACAAAATTCAAAAAATCCTATAAAAGAAATATTTAGATGACAGCCAGTAAGATTTAGCAACTAGCCGTGTACAGGAGGGCAATATGGAAGAGAAGGAGCTACAATTTGGTGTCAAGTCGACCCGCAAAATTATTGGCAGCATAACAACCAAGGAGATTTACCAACATAAAGTTTAGGAAAATGTCATTGCAATTCAACAATAACCTATTTTCCAAGAGCAATGGTATTTCAAATTCAACAAATAGGAAGCCAACGTCTGAATAATCCTTGGCGGCCAATGACATGGTTAGAAAGGGTTCTATTTGTTCTTCATTGTTCTCATCCTCTCCGATAACTTCATTTTCATTGCGCTCTTGGTGTATTTCTTCCACGAAAATATGGGATCCCTGTGAATTTGTAAACGGTATCTTTTATGTGATAGGATCTTGAGGTCAACGTCATATTCAAAGGGGGATGGAATGTTATGTGCCTAATTTAGTATAGGTAGTTATCTAATGAGTGGGGGTTAGTAATGCAATGTTAGTGGGTAATTTTCTAGGTCGTGGGGTAATGGGGTGTCTTGGTTATCTACTTAGTTATTTTCATTACTTTAAGAACGAGGTATGTTGGATATTAATATTATATTAAAATTTTATAATAAAAATTTTGGAGAGTTAGATTCTTCTTGAATTATTTTCAAGCCCTCGAAGTTGGTTTTCTGGCCACCATTCTAATTTTCTTTAATTTTTTTCAAAACTCCCGAAAAATGTGCACGTATACTCATCCATAAAGCACCAAGCCCAATTATTGCATCTAACTTTTCAAACCCTAGACTCATTACATAAACAAATCATCTCTAACCAACAGCCAAGAACAATAGCAAAACACCGACAAAATCCCTAAAACAACCATCCAAATCGTTAATCGTATAGGATCCGAACAGATCGAACCCTGCCGGTGCACACAGCCAAGAAAGCTCACCAGAATGAGGTCGAAGAGAGTGTGCTGATCAACCTTGACGAACTCAGCGTCCCAGGCCTTGAGCTCGTCATTGGCGGCGCGATCATCGGTCTTCGGAGTCTCGACGTGCTTCTTGCAGTACTCAATGACCTTGGCCAAGATCTTGCTGGTCACGTTGGGGAGTGGAATGTCGTTATCGGCACAATTGTCCTCGATCATGTGCTTGATCGTCTGCGACTCCAGAGCCACCGCCTGGTCNGATTTAGCAACTAGCCGTGTACAGGAGGGCAATATGGAAGAGAAGGAGCTACAATTTGGTGTCAAGTCGACCCGCAAAATTATTGGCAGCATAACAACCAAGGAGATTTACCAACATAAAGTTTAGGAAAATGTCATTGCAATTCAACAATAACCTATTTTCCAAGAGCAATGGTATTTCAAATTCAACAAATAGGAAGCCAACGTCTGAATAATCCTTGGCGGCCAATGACATGGTTAGAAAGGGTTCTATTTGTTCTTCATTGTTCTCATCCTCTCCGATAACTTCATTTTCATTGCGCTCTTGGTGTATTTCTTCCACGAAAATATGGGATCCCTGTGAATTTGTAAACGGTATCTTTTATGTGATAGGATCTTGAGGTCAACGTCATATTCAAAGGGGGATGGAATGTTATGTGCCTAATTTAGTATAGGTAGTTATCTAATGAGTGGGGGTTAGTAATGCAATGTTAGTGGGTAATTTTCTAGGTCGTGGGGTAATGGGGTGTCTTGGTTATCTACTTAGTTATTTTCATTACTTTAAGAACGAGGTATGTTGGATATTAATATTATATTAAAATTTTATAATAAAAATTTTGGAGAGTTAGATTCTTCTTGAATTATTTTCAAGCCCTCGAAGTTGGTTTTCTGGCCACCATTCTAATTTTCTTTAATTTTTTTCAAAACTCCCGAAAAATGTGCACGTATACTCATCCATAAAGCACCAAGCCCAATTATTGCATCTAACTTTTCAAACCCTAGACTCATTACATAAACAAATCATCTCTAACCAACAGCCAAGAACAATAGCAAAACACCGACAAAATCCCTAAAACAACCATCCAAATCGTTAATCGTATAGGATCCGAACAGATCGAACCCTGCCGGTGCACACAGCCAAGAAAGCTCACCAGAATGAGGTCGAAGAGAGTGTGCTGATCAACCTTGACGAACTCAGCGTCCCAGGCCTTGAGCTCGTCATTGGCGGCGCGATCATCGGTCTTCGGAGTCTCGACGTGCTTCTTGCAGTACTCAATGACCTTGGCCAAGATCTTGCTGGTCACGTTGGGGAGTGGAATGTCGTTATCGGCACAATTGTCCTCGATCATGTGCTTGATCGTCTGCGACTCCAGAGCCACCGCCTGGTCCACCTCGAAGGGGTCTTGATCGGAGCTCTTTATGGTTATCTTCTGCGCCGACGACATCTATTTTTCCACTGCAAAAGCTATCTCTGGAGAGAGAAACTATCAGAACAGGGCTTCGAAAGTTCGAAGCAAATAGGACCAGCGTCTGGGTGTATGTGTGATGTGAACTCTATGTAAGTGTAAATTGGCGCCAACATATTCGTGGCGGTAACAATTGCGGGATAAATGACATTTTGCTCCCGGAAAATTTTATATATTTTTTAGAGTTAATTGTACCGGAGGTCTCCAAAATATAAAATTTATATCATTTTAGTCATTAATATTTTAATTGTATTATTTTGGTCCCTAAAGTGATGAATATTTATATAATAAAATAAAATACAATTCAAATCTCAAAAGATGAACAAAATTATTTTTACCTTTTGTAGATGAGATCTATTTAAATTTTACTTTAAAATAAATCTGACGGCTAATATTAAGATTCTAAATTTAATATATAAAATAAGTCCCTAACGATGTATCTGGAATAATTTTTTAAAAGTGTTTCTAAAACTTATAATTTTTTTTAAATATTTCAAAAAAAAATAGTGTTTGAAACTACCTCACACCTACCACAACACCACCGCCGCCGCCACAAACAACCACCACCACCTCCATCATTGTCGCCACCCCCCACTCATCGCCCCACCATCATCACTATCGTTGTCGTCATTTTATTACCTCTTCCACAACAACCCCCACCATTGTCGTCGTCATCGTCACTATCGTCGTCACCCCTACCACCACCATTATCGCCACCGCCAGCATAACAATCAGTTGTCATCACTTTTCACAACTATCACCGTCTTCAACTATCACCACTATCGCTCACCACAACAACCACCGCTCGCCCTTATCACCATTCCCACCCCACCACCACCGCAACCGCTCGCCNTAATATTATATTAAAATTTTATAATAAAAATTTTGGAGAGTTAGATTCTTCTTGAATTATTTTCAAGCCCTCGAAGTTGGTTTTCTGGCCACCATTCTAATTTTCTTTAATTTTTTTCAAAACTCCCGAAAACTGTGCACGTATACTCATCCATAAAGCACCAAGCCCAATTATTGCATCAANCCCCCTTACTATAATCAGTACTTAAATTTTTTTCTATCTCATCTATCTTTGTAATTTGATTTTTGGTGTGAATACAAATATGTTTATTATTGATTTTTTTTTTATTACTCTATACCTTTAGACACGAAAAATAACTAGTATTTATATATGGTTCTTCAAGCAAATAATGTCCAGATTGATAAAAAAAATNCACCACCACCGCAACCGCTCGCCCCCTTACTATAATCAGTACTTAAATTTTTTTCTATCTCATCTATCTTTGTAATTTGATTTTTGGTGTGAATACAAATATGTTTATTATTGATTTTTTTTTTATTACTCTATACCTTTAGACACGAAAAATAACTAGTATTTATATATGGTTCTTCAAGCAAATAGTGTCCAGATTGATAATAATTTTNGATTTTTGGTGTGAATACAAATATGTTTATTATTGATTTTTTTTTTATTACTCTATACCTTTAGACACGAAAAATAACTAGTATTTATATATGGTTCTTCAAGCAAATAATGTCCAGATTGATAAAAAAAATTTATTATAAACTTATTACTTTATACTCAAGGCGGGCCCAACCTAATTGTAGATCAAATTTGAGTTTTAAGCCCTACAAATTGAGAAGGTCCCATAATTTGAGTTATATAATTAACCCACATAAAAAATTTAAGTGCAATCAAAAATTTTAATTTCAATAATTTGAGCTCATGATTCAACCTATAATATTATAAATTCAAAAATCAAAAGTTAAAAAAAAAAAACTAAATGTATAAAAAAAATTTACTCAAAAGTCAAGTTATATTTACCTCACTTATACTCTCTTCTCGTAAAAAACAAAAGTAAAAGTTAAAACATCTCTATCGAAAACATTGATTCTTCTTCTATCGAACACATATATAATAAATAAAAAACAAATTAATTTTTAATAAAATTTTAATATTAAGAATAAAATGCTTCATTTGATATTATTGTTTTAGGCCTCAAATGCTTTGGGCCGCACCTAATTATACTTATATATAGACAAAAAAATAATTTTGATAACTCTTGACTAAATTTTTACTCAAATTTTGATTAAATAACCACCTAAATTACACAATTTTGATAATGAATTATCTAAAATTTGGTCAAAAGTTACCCATATTACACTTTTTTTTTTGTCAAGAACTATCCAAATTTTGCTTAAGACCTATTAAAGTTATTTTTGTCCATATTTATGTATTACGTGATAAATTTATAATAAAAAATCGTTAACAATCTGGACATTGTCTACTTGAAGGATTATATAAAATCATATTCAATACTTCAAGAACCAACATGATGCAATTAAAACATTGATGACCAAAATAAAACAAACATCATATTTTTGGGGATCTCTAGTACAATTAATTCTATTTTTTATTTTTATCCCAATATTGTACCTTAATCAAACAAAGAGATAACAATATGTTTCATTTTGAGAAAAATATAGTACTAAATTTCTATTCAAAATACTTAAAATTAAGTATTATGCAAATAAATATTTATAAGAATAGAATAATAAAACATAAAAATTATCAAAAAAGACAACGGATAATTATTTTTTAACTACATTGTTGTTTTTTTATCAGATTAAAATTTTATTCTCTTAAGAAAGAAATTAAGAATTAAAAAAAAATGAAGTATAAATTATCATTCCCCAAAAATGCGGAGATTTGTATACATGGAAATTATAAAAAAAAAAAACTAATTTTTTTTATAGTTGAGTGAAGATATGAACCGTGTAAAACTTTTAATTTTTAAACAAGTTCACTTTTTCCCCCGCCGGAAAAAAGAAAACCAAAGTTCACTTTTTTGATTGACCTTAATTCATTAACACAATTTCTTAATCTAATTTATTTTTGTAAATTAATAGGATGATCCAATATTACATGTGTTCTATTATACATCAAATAATAAATATAAATTAAATTAATAAAAGATGTCGGTAGTGGAATGCAAATAATTTTAATTGATAAATAATAAAAAGGATTTGAAATTATATTTGCCCAAAAAAATTATGTATGAAATCAAAGAACAATAGCATAAAATTTGGCCTAGTCAAATAATCGACAATATTAGGTAATAATGTCAACGGATAGCTCAAGCAGTAACAAAGACAAATTATAAATTTAGACATCTCAAATTCAAATTTTAACAATTCTTGGAAACCAATAAAGATTAATTCTTCATGAATGTCCTAACCCCGGTGTTAATGATCTACCTTTAACTGAAACAGAAGAGAAACTAATTGAGGTACGTATAAACAAATCTAAACACCTTTGACACAAAAAAAAAAATTCAAATTAAGTGGTAATTTTCGTTTTCTTTTTTTCTTTTTTGGTATCGAATTAGGTGCCATTTCATGAATAGATAGCTACCTCCCTCATAACGAAGATGATGATTGTTGATTTTGGACGCTAAACAACCGTTCACCTCACAAGCTAAAATTTCGTGTCCATAAATTAATTTTAAAAATGGTTATTCATAATCAGTCGGTTACACTCCGTGGCGATGGTGATGGTGACGTTACCTCGAATATTTTCTCCTNAAAAATTATGTATGAAATCAAAGAACAATAGCATAAAATTTGGCCTAGTCAAATAACCGACAATATTAAGTAATAATGTCAACGGATAGCTCAAGCAGTAACAAAGACAAATTATAAACTCAAACATCTCAAATTCAAATTTTGACAATTCTTGAAAACCAATAAAGATTAATTCTTCATGAATGTTCTAACCCCGGTGTTAATGATCTACCTTTAGCCAAACCAGAAGAGAAACTAATCGAGGTACGTATAAACAAATCTAAACACCTTTGACACAAAAAAAAAAAATCAAATTAAGTGGTAATTTTTGTTTTCTTTTTTGGTATCGAATTATGTGCCATTTCACGAATAGATAGATAGCTACCTCATAACGAAGATGATGATTGTTGATTTTGGACGCTAAACATTCGTTCACCTCACAAAGTTAAAATTTCGTGAAAGAGAGACTAGTTAATATGTCATTGTCCATAAATTAATTTTAAAAATGGTTATTCATAATCAGTCGGTTACACTCCGTGGCGATGGTGATGGCGACGTAATGTAACCGTTACCTCGAATATTTTCTCTTCGTATTGGCATATTCCATGATTCTCTCTGTTCACAGTGCATAAGGATGCATGATAAGAAGCACAGCCAGATATAATCTCAAGGGAACCTATCATCAGGTTAACATTGGAGAAGAAAATTTCATTGAGAAGAATTTGTCTATGATACAAATGCAGAAACTGGAAGATACAACAATCTAATTTACATAATGGTAAACTGAAGGCACAAAAGAAATCGGAATACCGGTATCGATCAACAATGGCAGTAAGCCATTACCTCTATGTAAAAAGTCTTTACATGTCCAAAAGGCAGAAGAAACTTTTTGTATCCCTATCACTTAGTGTTCCATATACTGAATGGCTGGAGGGCTCGTTTTTGTCTTGTCAGGACCTGCAAGTTGGAACTATGTCACAGATCACATGTATATAGCTCCTTGAAAATTGATTAGGACACTAAAATGAAACATGAAAATACCAACTTAACAAGATGAATCCACACCAGGTTTTACAGTTCAAGAGAAAATGAAAGGAATATGATCGGGTCAGATGTCCCCGGAACACGCTAAGTTTGCATAACAAAATTTGCACTGTAATGTTTTAATAAAAGCTCTGTGCTTAGGACATACCATGAGCCCCACGAATCTCCACTTCTCGCCATTCTTGGACAAGGGCACAACAACAACACATCAAGTGTGAGAGAAAATCATCAAACAAGCCTCCCTGAAAAGAAAGAGATAATAGAAGGCATGATATCCCTACAAATTAGTACACAACAATAAAACATGACGTGACTATAAAAAAGTGGGGAAACTGAAATCCAAGACTTGACCAATAGTAGCACTCAGCATTCTGCATGCTAGGATTGTAATTTCACCACCAAATTGCTCACAAATAGAAAGATTGCACATACAACGTCTATATAATTAAATCAGAATTAACAAAAAATGATAAAGATGATTTTCAACATTTAAATAAACATGTCCAATTTTTAAGAAAGATGAAAATATCCAAATATCAGATAGTCCAGAAAGCTTCCAATCATGACAAGTCAGGTTAAAGGAACATTTCCAGAGCAGTAAGCATAGAGTATAGATATCTTTTTTCCACATATGAGCACAGTACATAAAAGAAAAGAAACGGATAGCTTTTTTCTTTTTCATTTTTTTTGTTGGGGGAGGGGGGGGTGGAAGTATCAACCCATCTCCTGCACAGATCCATCCTACTTAAATCCATTATACTGCAGCAGGGACATAAAGGAGTTACCGTGATGTTTAGCATCTTCCGAAGCTTCCTTCGAATGCAACAAGTATAACAGCAGCAAGATAGTACCAAAGAATAAGCCATCAATTCGTTACAGGCTTCCGCTGAAGCTGATCAACAAAGACCAAACTATTCCTTGTAAGCTTCCAAACAATACTTAAATCATAACTAGAACAGAAAATGTTGCCGAAGCTGAAAGATTCAAGTAAAACAATCTTCCAAGGCCGCATCTATTGCCTGAACCCCTCAAGACAGAAGGATTGTATTTATATCCTCCTAAGCAAAGATTTTGGTTCTGTTCATCAACAAGTAATAGAACATATTGTAGCTCATGGCTACTATCTGGTCAAGAATGATATAGCACAAACTCACAACTGGCCAGGATCACAAAAATACTAGCATAAAGCACAACTACATTTCAGGGTACACTAGTTACAGGACACGGCTCTAGAATTTTCACTCGTTAGTAGCACAAGATAATACGAATTGTACACTGTGAATTACAATTCTCAAAATTATAAAAATTTGAATTGTTTATGTTCCTTGAGGGGCCTATTTCCTAGAATCAGCTGGTTGTCCATGCCTCGTTTAAGTCAATTTAAGACCGCTTAGGCCATTTTCAGACTGAGATATCATTTGGCCTGAATTGTTTGAAGTTCTTTTGGAAATCATGCTTTTGCTTTGTTTGACTTTGACATATTGAACGACATTTTACTCATTTGACTAAAGAAAACAAAAGTTTCCTTTTGGTCTTGCTGCTCCAACCTTTATCTTTACCAAGGTAAATTGCTTTTGAACAGCAAATCCAATAAAAAACAAAAATGAAAGAAGAAAGAAGGGAAACTCTACTCTCTTTTAAAAAGCAAAACATTTTTTTCCAGCAAGACCTCGAAAACTCCTACCATGGCCAAATAAATTGCTGTTGCAGTGACCAAAACATAGTTATGAGATTTCTTAGCATAAAGCAGTTAACTGGCCACTTCTCCAACAAATAAGCTAATTATTCATTTTCTGCTAATGTTTCTCTAACCTATAAAACCACTGCATGCCATCTTAATGGAAATGGAAAACATGCAATACACATTAAGTATACTCGAGAGATAATGAAATCTCATGTAACGTTACTTACAAGTCACATAAAAGATGCACCCCTCAACCGGCATAAGCATGTCAGTGTTTAAATTACAAAGAAATTTTACATCTATAGATGGTACAACCACAGTAGCAGTAAATGAGAAGGTCAAACTATACAATTGGTAGATACTAAGTACGGACAATGATACATGTATGCACAAATCTCAAGAACTGCTCTTATGTCTGCTTTAACAATGCTCTGCACATTAAAAAAAAAAGAAAAAACAAAACCACCAAAAATAGCAAGCATCTACATATAGCTGATCAGAAGAGTTCTAATTCAGAGGCTCGGAGCCACTTACACATGTGCCTATTAGTCACCACGGTAGCAATCTTTGAAACTGTACCACACGGAAAGAAGCAAGTCTTTATACCTGCAAAGTACAAGATAAGCTTCTCAGAATGCGTTCTAGTATGTTAATAACAGCATTATGGCATGGTTAACTACCCAATAACTTTTAAAGAGTACACCGTNCACGGAAAGAAGCAAGTCTTTATACCTGCAAAGTACAAGATAAGCTTCTCAGAATGTGTTCTAGTATGTTAATAACAGCATTATGGCATGGTTAACTACCCAATAACTTTTAAAGAGTACACCGTGAACAGAAAAGAATGGAGAAAATATATAGAAAGGAAAGTTCCACCAGAAAAATGGAAGATAATAGCAAATAGAAGTCATCTATAGTCGATGCTTAGCTTCTTGAAAGGGCACGAGTGAGAAACACCTCCTAAAGAAAGTTTCTTCAGGCCTCAGGACTTCTAGTGTGCAATGGCTAAAAGGCCAAAAAGAAAATTACCTAAACAAAACCAAAGAATTCAACCAAAGACAAAATGACTTATAGCCTTTCAGCTCTCATTAAACCCATACACTCCAGCCTTGCATAACCCAAAGGTACATGCACTCCACCGGCAGAGCCAAAGGTAGAGTGGGGGCAATTGCCCCCACTGAAAATTTGAAAACATTTAGGGTTAGTTTAAAATTATAATAAAAATTAAATTTTCTAATAACTTGCCCCCATTCATTTTTTTTAATGACCTAAAAACTTAAACTCAAAGTTCGCTCCTACAGATTTAATCTCACAATTCTTTCTTTAGTCTCTAGTTATCACTATTCTTTCTACAATGACTCACTTAAGTTACCGAATCATTCCTTCTCCGAATTCAATTACGAAGGCATAGATTAATATTTTTGACTAATTATCCAAGTTCGAATATACTATATCATACTCTAAGATTTTAGATTTGGGCATAAAAAAATTGATCTGATTATGATTCAATTCACTTCGATTTAATTTGATATGCATCCACAAATATGTATAAATAAACATTTGATGAAACTAAGCAATGAAATTGAATTAAAATTACAATGCAATAAACATATATATATTAGATTGGATTTTTGATAAAACTCATAATATTTAATGGATTCGAATATGGATTATAAAAACAAAATCAGTTTAATAATTAGATTAGATTTAAAATAGAGTTTTCAAGATAAATTGTCATTCGGATGAGTCAAAATCTTATTATTGACAAATCTACTCGCAAAGTGATATGTCAAAATAACATTCTCCATGAAAATTGTCTTTATTCTAGTACTTTATACAAAAAAGAATTTATATTAGCTTTTTTTAGTCAAATCCTATATTTTTCACTTGTATTTATATATGAAATATTTGAAAATAAAAAAAAATAATATGAAGAATTATTTTATAAAAAGGTATTAGATTAGAAATATTATTTTATAGAGAATGAAGAGAAAACAATCATGTTCACTAAATGCAACAAATTTTGATAATTATTGTGCAGTCTTTCTCTTTAACTTGATAGTTGCCCCCACAGGAAAGAGACTCTGGCTCCACCCAGCCCACCAGTAAATGTATAGAGCTTAGGTCACACAGCAATTTGAATCTCAAAAATGGCTTTAATTTGAATATAGAAAATAGTTCATTCAACACAAGAAGATGTGGATGCAAGATTCAAAATTTTGACAAAAATCACCTAAAGGTTGAACAGTCATGGATGCTTTATATTCCACCTATACAACAGAATCTTCTTGAAAGATGCAGTGATCCGTTGAATGTCAGTCAGCTAAATTATCTGAGCTAAGATCTCTACTAACTGTTTCTGTTATAAAGCAATATATAATTTACTAAAATGGATTAAGACTTCAAATCAATGCTTTATGCACAAAGTAAAATAACAGAACATATGCAGAGATTCTCCAGAGGCTACATGAAAGATGCTCAAATGGATCCTTTCTATTCTATTGATTGGAAAAAACAAGAAAAAGAAAGAGAAAGTAGATGAAAAAGCTCCATGGTACTATTAATACTCCATATCCAATTGCTCCAATGGATGCACATATGCTCGGAACCTAAAATGCTTTGTGGAGTTGAACATATAGTCCAATTGAGAGTAGAGGTACCCAGGAAAAATAAAGATCAGAGGGCCATTTGAACTTAAAGGGACGGTTCAGCAAGCGAACTTTGAAGCAAGTTTATCAGGTAATGTGAAATGGTGATACTGAAATGACTGGTTCTAATATTTGCTCACTCATTCTCTTTTTAAAATCAAAATTACACACTTCCAAAACCAGGATGGTTTGTACTCCACTTCGAAGTTCCAAATACTTCTACCATATAACTAAGAACATTCAATTGTAGAAGTACACACGGCCGTAATGACCCCAGATGTAGGATGTGCTCTAATTAAAACCCAAAGCCCATTGCATACAAACCAAAACAATTATGCAAAAATAATTTCAATAATCTCCCAAAATAGTGATTTGATACCACGCAATTGAACATCAAGTGATATGATTGAACATACATAAAAGAGGTTCTGAACAACACCCAAGTAAATCCGAATGCCATTCTTCATGTCGATGAGAACCTTTAGTAGACAGCAAATCATGTCCGGATGAAACTGAGGAAGTATTTCTGCAAAGAGCCAAATGGTATCAAAGACACCTCAAGTTCACAGCATATGCAGGGATGAAACTTAAATAGCGTGCATGTTATGACCTAGAAATCTTAAGCAGCCATTAAAAATAGACACTGTTACTAGAATCTGAGGAAGAAATTGCAGAGTTTGAGGTCGTTTCATCATATATTGGCTATGAAGCACGGACACTCTTGAGAAGGTGACGTATCCGTGTCGGACACCAACACTCTTTGGACACGTGTCCGATACTCTTTTCTCCGTGTCCATAATTAAATGATAAATTTTTAATTTCGGACACGTGTCGGACACTTTTTTGGTGACGTGTCCGACCCTTCTTTTGTACGTGTCTACAANATTAAATGATAAATTTTTAATTTCGGACACGTGTCGGACACTTTTTTGGTGACGTGTCCGACCCTTCTTTTGTACGTGTGTCTACTACTAAACAATAAACATGTGTTGAAATGTGATTAACAAAACTTAAAAATTTTAGAACATATAATTACTAATACTAGACATGTTAAAATTGTACTCCAAATATAATAATAAAAACAAAAGATGTATGAAAGTTTTAAAAAAAAAGAATTGAGAAAATGAGAGCAATTATTTAAATTATACATTAGGTACACATTGTCTACAAAAAAAATTGCTGATTACTGACTATTATGAAGATGATNAATAATAAAAACAAAAGATGTATGAAAGTTTTAAAAAAAAAGAATTGAGAAAATGATAGCAATTATTTAAATTATACATTAGGTACACATTGTCTACAAAAAAAATTGCTGATTACTGACTATTATGAAGATGCTTTAGTCTAAAAATTCACAAAGATGACTAGATATTAGATTTACTTATCATAAAATACTTAATCTTTTATAAATTATATATCATTATCACTATATTTGTAATAAATTATATAATGTTATATATAAAATATAATTTTTTTTGTACCATGTCCTCAACGTGTCCGTGTTCTACTTTTTTGAGAAATGTCATGTCGACGTGTCTGTGTTATGTTGTATCCGTATCCCGTGTCCGTGTCCATGCTTCTTAGCATATAGGTATATCAGGTAAGCAAGAACTTGCAAACTAACAAAATTCTAAGTAATCCTGATCTGATAAGCAGTGTCTGGCTTGACATTGGCACATGCTTCTGCATCTTTAACCAGATCACTTGCAATGTAGAAGCCAAGGCATATATGTGAGAAGGTTGGTTGTACATCTGGAACACTTAAATATACATTGACAAACATTATAACATGAAATCTTCCAACTTGTGCAGATCTCAAAAAACTGACTCTGAATTTATGCAGGTTGGCAACAAACACAAACAAAAGTGCTTGAGAAAACAATTACTGAGATCTAACTTCTGATGCAGAGAAGACCAACCTTGAACTCGTGCAAGACTTGCTCTTGGTAGTATAATAGCTTTCATCGTGATGTTCTTGACCACCATTGAAATCGTAATTAGACTCCACGTCCTTGGAATATCTTATGGGTGAACTCTTTTCTGATAGAGTATTTGCTGCAACAACTTCAGTGACATCAATCAGATGCTGAATTACTTCACATTGGCTTACATCCAAATTAGCTTGCGAATGTTGAAGTTCTAACTGAAGCTTTTCATTCTCTTTTTGAATTGCCTCATTAAAAGGCAAGTTTGGATAGGAACAAGAAAGAGTTTTCTTCAAAACTGCAGTGTAATTTTTCGAGGGTTCTGGTTTCAGAATAACATCTTGCACCCTTCTGTCCTCATCATCCAAAGTGTATTCACATTGGTCCCTGTCGATAATTTCCAATCTTTCCTGCAAGTTTGGGGGCAAGGAAAGATCAATCAACAATAAAAGAATTCCTGAATAAGTCTACTGCATAGACTGTTAAAATAATTTCAACTGAAGTGTAAACATGTTGTCCTTGTCTTGTTCCATGTGATAATGGGCAACCCAAGTCCTAGCAGTTATCACTGTATCATTGTAATCTCTTTCTTTCTCTCTCTCAATGTTTAAAAAAATCCACGACTGCATCAATGAAATTTACAGCTTTCACTCACATATGTTTTTGCTAGGGTCATCATCAGCCCTACGCACGTGGCTATTTATCAACTTCACGAGTCTTATGACTATGACAGCTTTCTGGCATGCTGCAATCGGGTACGAAAAAAGGTGGAATTACCAGCAATTTGGTCAACTGTTAGGTCTTAAGTATTACACAATATGTGTTCAGTCTTGAAAGAAGTTATCAATTAAAATTATCACTAAATAATTAAAAACCAAGCACACACTTCATGGTACATGAACTTTGTCTGTCTAGAGACACTTTTAGTGCAATTAAAACTTTCTATCCCAGTTTCACTTCTGCTGCATCTGAAGAAGTTTGGTTTGTGTCAATACTCAAGCTTTAGCAATTAGCCCGCAAGCAATGCCAATTGATAAAAAAAATGTGTGGTAGCAAAATTAGTAGGACATCCAAGTCTGATGCAAAACCAGTAGTAATCAAAGATCCACTAGTAGCAAAACAAAGGGGAGAGCAGTCATATAAGATTCATAATAGAGGTCCTTCGTACTTTTACCCAATCAATTTGTTTGCATGCATCAAACATGCAAAAATTTATTTTGAATCAAAATCTTAATGTATAACTTCGATACATGACATCATTTGCAAATGCAGGAAACAAAACAAAAATAATTAAAGAAATGAATAACCCAACAAGCCAACAAAACCTATATATCAAACCTTGNAAAATTTATTTTGAATCAAAATCTTAATGTATAACTTCGATACATGACATCATTTGTAAATGCAGGAAACAAAACAAAAATAATTAAAGAAATGAATAACCCAACAAGCCAACAAAACCTATATATCAAACCTTGAGCAAATAATTGAAAGCGGAAAACACAAGAACATAAAAATCAATTTACCCTGACACGAGCATTATCCACAAGAGTGATGAGAGGGATGATCTTTAAGTATTGGTCAATCTCATTCTGGGCCCTCCTGAATTGGTACACAATGTTCCACCCCATGGCTAGCAAATACAAATAGCTCCGATCTTGGCAACTGTTGACCAAAATGTAAGACCTCCTCAAGGCATCCTCAAGCTGCTCCAGTGGCTCTCGGGTTTCTGGATACTTCTTAAGCTCCGAAATCTTGAGCTGCTCTAACAAATTCCCAATCAATTTCAGATGCTTTGCAAACTGCCTACAGTTCCTCTTGTGCATTCGAGCAGTATTGGCCGCTTTAACAATCATCCCAATTAGCGCCACAGCATCGAGCCCCGTGAGTTGTGCCACAGTAGCAATCTGCCCAATGGCTGCCCAAGTCGCCATCTTCACTTCTTATGTTACCCTCAATCCTGCCTAGTCTCAGCTCAATAACATACACATTTTCTCGGATAAATTGAATGGTCACCAAATCCACAAATTTTCTAACGAAAAATTGAAAGATAGCAAAATGTCTTCACATGCACTTGAACCAGAAGGCAGAGAACAACTTGTTACTCACACTACATTAGAATTTAAGCGCGGTCAAAAGCTGCTTTTTACAGATCTGCAAGAAATTGAGATGAATTGGAGATCTTCAACAGTAGAAAAAATTGAGAAAAGTCTGGAATTGAAATTCAGCTGCCATGCAATTCAGCAAGCGAGTCAACAAGCTGTCAAGGATTATCCATCACGCTTCTCACTTTCTTTTTAAACAAAAGGGAAAAAATAAAGGTAATCAATAAAAAGGAAAAACGGTTTGACTAATCTCTTTATCGAGAAGAAAAACTATAAAAAATTAAATTAAAAATGACAAAAAATAAATAAAAAACCGCAGAGTTCAGCATCATACCAGAAAGTTGCTGAAACCGCCACCGCCGCCGCACCGCTCGTAGCCGGGATCTTTACGGCCATTCGCAAACTGCTTCAAGTGAAACCTGTAATCGCACTGGAAAGCTTCATAGAAATATGCCACCAATACATACATTAGCATAACTTGAAATCATACAAGCATGTTATGCCCTTATACAAGACAAAGTAGAAATGTTCACGAGTATTTTTACCTTCTGCGAGAGAAACTACCCTTTTTTACGGCTTCGCAAGAAACTCGCTTTATCACCTTCTACAATGTAGATTTCTGTGAGCTAAATTACGAAGAAAACGTCAAATTGAGAAGAAACGGACATAGATTTCTGTGATTAACAGGTGTAGATTTGCACGAAACATCTTCTTTTTCTTCTGGATAGATTTTGGAACGATTTGGCTACTACATTGAAAACCTCTCTCTCTCTCTCTCTCTCTCTCTCTCTGCTTTGGTGTGGTTTGTCTGTGCTCTGTGTGCGTGCAGTGAGCTCTCTCTCTCTCTCTCACTCTTTTCTTTCGCTGTAAGTACACTGCACACACTGTACACGGCAGACGCCATGTACCTAAAAGAGACTCGGTGTTTAACCATTATTACGAATGTGCCAGCGAGTTTCACGGGGTGAGACTGGTTCCGGAAAAATGCAGAAGGGTGGGTTGACTCTGGAATTTAGAAATCACAAAAATAAAAATGAATTGACAGCTGGTTAATGTTCTGGCTGTCCCTTCTTTGAAAAAATATATAATATAAAATAAGAGAAGATTTAATAAATTTATGGATTAATTGTAAATTGTATCCTAAAAGATTGTTCAAATCTTAATTTGAAACTTCAAAGATTAAAAATTTTAATTTATACTTTTAAAGATAAAAATTTGTATCAATTTGCACTCCAAAGATCAAAAATCTTAATTTTCACCCTCAAAGATAAAAATTTGTATCAATGTATACTCCAAAAAATCAAAAATCTTAATTTACACCCTCAAATATACAAATTTGTATTAATGTGTACCCCCAAAGATAAAAAATCTCAATTTGCATANAATATATAATATAAAATAAGAGAAGATTTAATAAATTTATGGATTAATTGTAAATTATATCCTCAAAGATTGTTCAAATCTTAATTTAAAACTTCAAAGATTAAAAATTTTAATTTATACTTTTAAAGATAAAAATTTGTATCAATTTGCACTCCGAAGATCAAAAATCTTAATTTTCACCTTCAAAGATAAAAATTTGTATCAATGTATACTCCAAAAAATCAAAAATCTCAATTTACACCCTCAAATATATAAATTTGTATTAATGTGTACCCCCAAAGATAAAAAATCTCAATTTGCATACTCAAAGATAGAAATTTGTATCAATGTGCACCTAAAATTAAATTGATAAATTATACCTACATTCTCTTATGTTTGTCACTTAATCATTTGGATTCCTTCACATTTAGAATATCACTCCTACATCTCATGACGTTTGTGCACGTATAACACGTAACCCTTTTCGTTAATATCTGTTAATATAATCGTTAAAAAATACANCCTACATCTCATGACGTTTGTGCACGTGTAACACGTAACCCTTTTCGTTAATATCTGTTAATATAACCGTTAAAAAATATAATTTTATCTTAATAAAAAATTATAATTTCATGTTATCCTTTATGAGTCCAATATATTCTAAAGTTCAAAATCAAGCTTACTATTTGAATGTCTAATAAAATAAAGGGTTGCACATTGAGTGATATATTACATTGGATATAAAAAATATTATATAAATATCTACATTCTATTTGAGGGTACAATTTAAGATTTTTTATCTTTGGGGGTCTAAATTGAGATTCAAACTATCTTTCAGAGTACAACTTGCAATTAATCCTAAATTTATTAGACGGTTTCAAATAAATCCACTACACTATTAATTAATATCAACTTACATTACAATAAGAATATAATAAGTAAGCAAATAACTCTTATATTTTAGTAATCACTCCCTCTATGTCTTTTAATAATCACTCCATACTAAGAAAATGGGGTTACAACTTACAACTCTTGTGTGATATTATCATCCGAAAATTGAAAAGTCTCCCATATTCAATATTTGTATTATCTATGTGTTGAAAATGAGTTAAGCCATCATTTAAACAAATCAATGAAAATGGGTATCGTTCCCTTAAACTATATTATTTTGCACATAAAACGACATCGTTTTATGCGTAAAATAATTCATTTAAAGGAACAACACCCCTTATATATTCTACGCTCTATATTTTATTTAGAACAAATTAATATAACAAAATTGAAATGAAAACGATTGTAATGGGCATTTCGAGCCTCCTCAGCGCAAAGCAATAAAAAGTCAGTCTTGACGTAGATAGTTAGTCTTTAAACGAATCAAAAAAAAAATTAGTTAAAGTGGATATAAGTTGATCTGGTCACTAGTTCTAATTGTTGAATAAAAAAAATTAAAAATTAGTACAAAAAGGCTAGCTAAAGACAGCTAGTGCTACAGACCAGCAATGACAAATAGAGTGAATACAAAGACACCTTGTATCTAATCGATTTGGTTATTAATGACTCGTGGATTTTAACTTATCTCAATTTAAATTTAAAAATTTGATCAGTTTATCGGTGAATTTTATTTTTATATTTCATATTCAAATTTATTAATAATATGATCTGATTTGAATAATTTCATTTAACTAATTACTTAATTTCTTTAATATCTACATACAAATTTATATAATAAAATAACTTATAATTTAAATTTCAAAAGATAAATAAAATAAATTTTTCTATTCACGGTTGAGATCTCTTTAAATTTTAATTTAAAGTTAATCTGACGGCTAATATTAATATCCTAAATTTAATAGGAAAAATAGGACCCTAAAAGTGTGTTTTAAGTGATTTCTTAAAATACTTCTAAAAATTATTTCTCATTAATACTTTTTAAAAAAAAATAGTATTTGAAATCATCCCACCATTACCTCTACCACAACCGCCGCCGCCGCCACCACCACCACCAACATCGTCATCGTCGCCACCGACACTGCCGTCTCCGCTTCTACCACGATCATTGTCACCCCCCCACAACCATCATCGTCTCTTACCACCATCACCGCCGCCTACCACCTCTCACTCTCAATACAACCAATACTTAAATTTTTTTTTTTTTTTTTTATATTTGTGATTTGATTTTAAATATTAATATAAATATGTTTATTATTTATTATTTTTTTAATATTTTGTGCCTTCAAATTATAATTGGATTGAATATAGACAACGGTTTCGAATTTGTGTTCAGATTATCGGTAAATAAAATATCAAATCATATCCAATTAATCGCATACAGATTAAAATTCAATTCATTAACAGAACATACAGCCACGAGGACCGACCAGAAGACTAATTTTGACTTAAATTAATTGAGAATGTGGTGTTCTTGTGGATGGTGTTTGGACATGAATTTATTGTAATTTAACTCAGATTAATTATTATTTTGATAAAATACAAAAAATATTTTTTTAGTATTATAATCTATCTCGACAATTATGCTTGATGCATTCACACTGCAACTGCTCATCCGCCCCTGTTAATTCTAATTATTTACACAAACCCCGTTGTCATTTGATTGATTTTCTCGGGATTAGGAATCTAATGGGGCTATCGGATTTGGATTACAGCCAAAGTTTTTCTTAATCTTTTAATTAATTTTAAATCACCCAACACACAATAACAGACAAACCCATTTTATTATTTTAACAATTTTTTAAATGGGGTTACAGATTAATTAGTAATAAAAGAAAGGGAAAGGCTACGGTACCACCTTCAATACCGTACCGTCACTTACTACTATTTAAGATTAAGTTACAATTTTTTTGAAGTGTAAGTTACAATTTTTTTAAAGTGGAAGTTATAACTTTTAAAGGTCATGGTCAATCATGATAAATTGGGATTGATAATGAAGTTACAACTTTAAAGGTCAGGATATAACTAATAAAATAAAAATTACAACTGCTCAGAAGAAGTTTATGATCGGTCATATGTATCTGTGATCGATCATGGATTTCCCTTGAGCAATTATAATTTCCCTTTTTTGAGTTATAACTTTATCGTAAAAATAGTAAATGACGATACAATACCGAAAATGATACCGTAGACTTTCGCTCAAAGAAAAGGTGAAGTATACACTTTCTCCAGAAAGTACCATTCTTATCCCATTAGTAATTTTTGGGATTAAGTTGAATCTCTCACTCGTTAATAATAAATTACCTAATAATACTGTAAATCTATTTATTAATCTATTTAAAACAAACAAATTAGAAGGGAGTAGTCTTCCCTCCACATTTCTTAATTTGGTAGAATTTAAAATTTTTTAATTCAAAACCTAAAACTCTCTCCAATGAAATGCTACCATGTGTCATATATAATCACAGTAATGCTATACTGATCAAATTTGGAGACCAAATCAAAAGTCAAAATAATATGGCAGTTGACTTGGATTTTTTTATTTAGTGTCATGTCATTTAGGCCCCAATAAAAATTTCAAATAATATATTGTCATGTCATTTGAGCTTTTAATTTAGTTTTAAAATTTGGTCAATATAGCATTACTCATATAACCATCTCTCTCAACTCCCCCAATAATCAATCCCTATTTTTTATCACCAAAAAATCGTTTATAATTATGTTATCTAATTTCTCAAATGATAAAACGAAAAGAAAAAATGATAAATTAAATTAATGGTATCACAAAAATATCTAAGAATGAGCTCGCTAACCCAGGTCATGCTATCCAATTCGGGAGCTCAGCTCAGCTCATCAATATTATTCATAGATCTCGATTTTAGACCTCAACTCCCAGTGTCAATATCTTGAGGAAGTTTATGCAAAGGATAGTTGGATCCCACCAAGTCTTCCTTTTTTCGTTTGACATCAATCACCCAACAAACGCAAGTCTCGTTACATAATAAGAAACAACCGTTACAAGAGAAAGACGAGGGTCTCGCCCCAGATCAAGCAAAGCCCAAGAATAATTATTAATAGAAGGCAAGGTCCTTGAGTGTGAGATAGCCATTGTAGCTTTATAAAATATTTTTTGTAAACCACACACTTATAAAATATTTTATGTAAAACCACACACAGTTATTAATAGATTTAGGAGCAAGAGACTATTTTAAGAGTAGATTAGTCGAGCTCTCGAGCTAGTGAACCACTATAAATACTGTGTGTAATCATCCGTTAATCCTAAAAACCTTATCCCTTAGAGTCTTGGAACTCAGACTGAAATATTCAGTACACCTTATATTCATACCTCTGTCTAGTCGCGTTAATAACATCATCATAACTAATATAAAAAAAAACACGAATTTTAATCCCATGTATCGCATTGGACAAACCACTAGTAGGCTAATAAAATGATCCTATATATAAGTTTTGTATCACTTTGATCTCTTATATTTTTAATTGGCACAACTGTTGCTTAA